TGTGTGCATGCATACGAGGACCCCGAAAAGACTAAGGGGCCCACTTCAACAAAGAAGAAAGCAATTTGTGAGACTCGATGGATGTGTAGAGGCGAAGGGGAAGGACGGCTCCACCGCATCCCGATGACGCCATATAGCCACAATGCTTAGGGAAATGGTGTGTGGCCTAAGGATGACGCTTAGCCTACGCACAAGAGAAGAGAAGTACTCAAAGAACCCTTGGACTGCATGAGTATTGGAAGGAGCAATTGTATGAGAACACGACAAAGATTAAAAAAAAAATCAGCGTTGCGACCAACGAGACTACCACCCGACGTGAGGGCTGAGCTACATCCCCAATGTCAAAGCTCTCTCGCGCGATGGCCCACCCCCATCCATCTCAAAGCACTAGGTGGGGGTGACCTTGGGACGAATGGCCCGCGCCCTGAGCATGAGTGTGGGCGGGTCGAGCCAAATGGGACCCGCAGTGGGGTCGACGAAGGCTCGATAGTCTACCGGGGTTTGGCCCTACAACGGCCCCTGTCCTCAAGATCACCGACCCCACTCGCCATTTCTATGTCACCACTGACGCCTCCGACTTCGCCATTGGAGCTGTACAATCCCAACATTTCCCCCGAGACACCGTCGAGACCCCCTCCATCAAGGACTTGCCCACTCACCCCGAGGCTCCACCTGGCGAATACCCCATCGCCTTCGCAACCAAGAAGTTTCTTCCCGCGGAGATAAATTACCCATCCAACGAGAAGGAACTCCTCATCGTGATTCACGCCCTCACAGTATGGCGCCTGTAATTTGACGGGCAATACTTCACCATCCACACTGACAACACCATCGTCTCCTCCATCCTCTCCAAGAAATATATCACTCCACGCCAAGCCCGCTGGCTAGACTTCCTTGCCCAGTTCACATTCACCATTTGCCATACCCCCGGCAAAAGCAACCGCGTTGTGGATGCCCTCTCTCGACGACCCGACCACAAGCCCCCCGAGAAAGTCTACGCCGCCAACTCCTTCCATCACTTCATCATCGATGCACCCAAGGCTCTCTCTCCTGCTCAGACTTCGCCACCGTTTACAACAAGCTCCGCGATCTTGACCCAATTCCCGACTACTCCCTCCACAACAATCTCCTCTACATCGATACYAAAGGCACTCGCCGACTTTGCATCCCCGACGCACGAGGCCTCCGTACTCAGCTCTTGGTCGAGCACCACGACGCCAAGACCGCAGGACATCTCGGTTTTCAAAAAACCTTCGACACCATCTCCCGCTACTTCTACTGGCCTTCCCTACTCGTCGACGTCAAGGCATACATTCGCTCATGCCCCACGTGCCAAGTTGTCAACCCCTCGAACCGGGCCAAACCCGRCAAGCTCCAATCATTGCCCATCCCAACTCACCGGTGGCAGTCCATCTCCATGGACTTCGTGTGCGGCCTCCCCAAGACCGACCGCGGGCATGATCTACGTCATTATCTGCCGCTTGACCAAACGTGCCCACTTCGTCACTTGCACGACCTCGCACAGTGCCAAAGACGTCGCCACACTCTTCTTCGACCACGTTGCTCGCCATCACGGCCACCCCAAGAACATCATCAGTGACCGTGATCCTCGTTTCCTGTCACAATTCTGGAAACACCTCTTCACGGCCCACGGAACCACGCTCAAGTATAGCACCGCATTCCACCCACAGACCGATGGACGAACAGAGAAGATGAACGATACACTCCAAAGAATCCTGCTGAAGTATTGTTATCCACACCAACACGATTGGGATCAGTTGCTCACAGCCGCCGAGATTGCCTACAACAATGCCATTTGCCCTTGCACCGGCATGTCCCCATTCTACCTTGACCTGGGCTACCACCCTCTCTTGCCCTCTGACTTCTTGCTCCCTTCGCAGGTTAACCCATCCACCCCCTACACCTCTCTCAATCAATGGGTAGCAACATTGAACAGACTCCTGAGAGAAGCCTCCGAAGTCATTGAACGAACCCAAGAACAACAACAAGCCAACAAGATTAACAAACATAGACGCGATGTGTCATTCAAAGTAGGGGACAAAGTCTGGCTCTCCGCCAAACGCTTTGAACCCGAACACGGCTTGTCCAAGAAACTCTCCAGCAAATGGCTCGGTCCCTTCCCCATCATTGAACAAACCTCCCCCGTCAACTACAAACTCCAACTTCCCCCCTGACATGAGTCGTGTCCACCCAGTCTTCCATGTCGAGTACCTAAAAGAATACCATGAATCCCCGCTCCAGTTCGCCAACCGCCCATATCCTAGACCTCCACCAATCTTGCTACCCACAGTCCCTGAATTCGTTGTCGAAACCATCATCGACCGACGAACCACTCAGGTATCTGATCATCCGGGACCAATCACAGAATACAAAGTCAAATGGACCGGATAACCCGACGAAGAATCTACATGGGAACCTCTCTCTAATCTTAAGAACGCCATGAAACTTGTCCGCGCCTATGATCGTGCTAATCCTACGTCCTAGATACCTATATCACTATGGCATAAACCCCGCTAAACCCTTGCAACCCTGCTCTCCACACACCCTTGAACCCAGTCCACCCTTCCCTTGACCCTCATTCCTGATGTCTGATCTGCCCTTGCCATCGCCTAGCCTTGTCCCATCTGTCCTCTCCACTACCTTGTCTCTCTTGTCCAATGCTTGCGAACTTGCGTGACGCCGGCGATAAAGGATCTAATGGCAAGCGCACGAGGACGATGGCCTGCTGCCTCACTGTTCATGGAGATTATGCAGCTGGTTTGGCCACCATGCTGTTTCATCGGCCGGCATCCCGACTCGTGGACTTACTGGAGCAGCAACTTGTGCCATGGATCTTTGCATCAGTTTGCGACTTCCTTGCTTCCAGATCAGACCTCATTGCAAACGCACCCTAGCACTCAGACTTTGACATTTGAACTACTACTACGCCTCTTGGACTTCTACCGATCGCAGCCGCTGAAGACCGCTTCTACCACCCGCTCCAAAGAGCTGATCAAGACCGCTGCAGACCCCCTTTCAAGACACTTGGACACTTCGTTCCTACATGAGATTCTGCTCCCTACCCCTTCGGACACAGCAGCCCTTGCATCCTAAACAAAATTTTTTCATTTTTATTTTTCCTGACTTTGACAATCCTGTAGAACATCATTAGCAGATCCCTGTTTCCCTAACCATTGTTCGCCGTACCCACGAGAACATCAATAGACATCCCCTGTTCCCCTGACCATTGTTTCCCTTACCCACTACAACATCAATAGAAATACTCTGTTTTCCTGAACACCGTTTCCCTTACCTAGTAGAACATCAATAGAAGTTCCCTGTTCCCTGAACTTTGTTCCCCCCTTAACCTATAGCGAACCATGCAGTCCCCTTAGTTCATCAGTAGGACCACCCTGCTCCCTGTCATCCCTTTAGTTCATTTGTAGGACTAGCCTGTTCCTTGCAACCCCCCCTAGTTCATCAGTAGGATAACTTTGTTCACTGGTACCAAACCCTGTTCCCTCTTACTCCTGCAGCCCATGCCACCCACATTATAACCCTCTTCCCTTTCGACTTGTTAACCAGTGATCGACCCCGTCCCGTCCTTCACAAATTTCAGCATTGCTTCATGATTTTTTTGGCAGCCGAGACGTTGTAGAGGGAGGGGATAGTGTTACGGACTCCGCCAGGGCTCGATCCCTGGTCTATCTTTTTGTTGTTTCGGCTGCATCCCGTTTTCAGCCTGGCACCCTTTTTCCAAACCCCTCCTTTGGTGCCGTAGGATTTTGGACAATTGGCGCCATACTGCAATTCGGGCGCCACTTTCAAATAACGCATTTTTCAGTTCTGCCCTCGGGGCCTTTTCATAAATGCCCCTGGTACAGTACGTGTCACCGGTACTTATACCGGCTCCACACACGGTACGGGGACCAGTCTCGTACCAGTTTTCTGCTGCTGTACTCGTACTCAGTGTGACTTGTTGTTCCGACATTCGGAATCCAGGACTTCGACTTTGTGCCTTGCCACTGTGTCTGCGTCCGACCCTCAGTCCGAGTCAGTCGTGTCGAGTGAGTGAGTGTGTGTGTGTGCTTTCACTCTCTCCCTCTCCCTCGGCTCACCCTCAGCCTCACGCCCGTCACATAGACGAGCTCCTCGAAAAGGGGTGGATTAGGCCCAGTTCGTCTTCATTTGGAGCACATGTTCTCTTTTTCCCCAAGAAAGAGGGAGAGTTGAGAATGTGCATTGACTATAGGGATCTCAACGTCGTTACAGTCAAGAATGTAGAACCACTGGCCCGAATAGATGACTTCTTAGATCGGGTACAAGTCTGCAAGTATTTTACAAAGATAGATTTCAAATCAGGGTACCACCAGATTGAGGTCCACCTAGATGATCAGTACAAAACGGCGTTTAGGACTAGATACGGGCATTATGAGTTTATAGTTATGCCCTTTGGACTAACTAATGCACCGCCGACTTTCCAGCGTTATATGAACGATTTGTTTAGGTCGTGGTTAGGTAGATTTGTAGTTGTTTACTTAGATGATATTCTGATTTTTAGTAAGACCCTCAGGAGCATGAGGCTCATCTGAACTTGCGCGAGGCAAACTTCAAGATCAATGTGAAAAAGTGTGAGTGGGCCAAGACAGAAATCTTGTACTTGGGCCACGTTTAGATGGTGATGGCATCAAACCTGAGGACAGTAAGAACGCAGTGATCAGAGACTGGCCAGCTCCACGTACACTCACAGAGTTGAGATCGTTCCTAGGATTGGCTAATTACCACAGGAAGTTCGTTAGAAACTTCTCTGCAATCGCTGCTCCCCTTTGCAGGTTGCTAAAGAAAGAAGCAATCTGCAAGTGGGACCAAGACTGCACTTCGGCCCTGAAGAAGCTGAAACGGGCCTTGATAGAGTACCCAGTCCTCAAGGTAGCGGGTCCATCCTTACCTTTTGTCGTTACTACTGATGCAAGTCAATCGGTATTGGTGTTGTTTTACAGCAAGATGATGACACTGTGTATAGACTCGTAGAGTACATGTCCGCTAGATTGTCGTCAGAGAAGGTAGCGACATCAACGTATGAGAGAGAACACTACACTCTCAGGCAAGAATTAGACCACTGGAGACACCACTTGCTTGGGAAACACTTCAAAGTATTTATACCACGAGACACTTAGGTGGTTGAAGACTCAGGCCAAGATGACACCTAAGCTTACTAGGTGGGCCGCAGAGATAGACCAGTTTGACTTTGAGCTCAAGCCCGTTAAAGGAAAGTATAATGTGGTTGCAGACGCTCTAAGTAGAAGAGTCGACTCCTTTGGAGCTATATTTCACTATCTGGATATAGGGACAAACTTGCAGTAAAAAGTCATAGATGCGTATGCGCAAGACCCTATTTATAGTGACCTCCTGAAGAGAGTAAGGGAAGAACCAGCCAGTGAACCTGATTACCGCACCATGAACGGATTGTTGTTTGAGAAGACAGACGTCGTAGACCGGCTGTGCATTCCCAATAGTGAAGAGATCCGGAGTCTGGTCCTGGGGGAATGTCACGATACGGAAGGGCACTTCGACTGGAAAAAAACGTTAGCCAACCTGACGCGTGCCTACACATGGTCTGGCATGAAAGCTGGCCGCATAGAGTATGTGCGTAGTTGCAAGCTATGCCAGCACAACAAAACTACGACGTGAGCCCCATTGGGTCTTCTCAGACCCTTGCCTATCCCTTCAGGTCTCGGAGAGTCTGTGTCCATTGACTTGATGGATGCAGGGGTCAGGAGTAGGCATGGCAAGAGCCAAGTCATGGTCATAGTAGACCGTTTTAGCAAATATGCAGTTTTCACTCCTTTGCCCTCCGAGGCACGTACAAAGTTAGTCATAGAGAAGTTTTTCGATGCCTGGGTAAGTGAGTATGGTATTCCGCTATCTATAGTTAGCGATAAAGATACGATGTTCACTAGCCAACACTGGCAGGAGCTTATGCGAGTTTATGGCTCTAAGTTGCTGATGTCATCTGGTCGTCATCCAGCGACTAATAGTCAGACTGAACAGATGAATAAGATCCTGCAGCAGATACTCAAGATCAGATTAACTGGGATGAGATGCTCCCCAAAGTCGCTAGCGCCTACAACATCAGCGTTCACCTAGCTACCTGTCGAACTCCTAACGAGTTACATAATTAGACCACGCAGGCCGTTTGAAGGACTGAACTGTGACCAGATACAGAGACTGCCACCCGAAACTAGTGAGCTTGCTCTACAGCATGAGAGATAGATTGCAATAGTGACTGACAATCTGAGGAAGGCTCAGCATAGAATGATTGAGCAAGCTCAAGCATCGTCGGCCATCGCAGTTCCAGGTAGGTGATTTAGTATGGGTCAAGTCCAAGGAGTGCGCCCCAGAAGAGAACATCTCACAAAAATTGTTGCCGGCGTATAGAGGATCGTGGCCTGTCCTAAAAGTGAAAGACGGAGAGGACAGACCTTCCTACACAGTAGAGATTCTGCCACACCTCCATACATACCCAGTCTTCCATGCGTCAAAGGTGTTACCTTGTGTCACTAGTCAGCAATTTTCGTCTCGCCGATCGATGATTCCGCCAGATATGGATGGCACATACGATATAGACCGCATTGTGGAAGAAAATGTGTTTCGAACTGCAGGTAGAGGTCGTCCACAGAAACAGTACAAGGTTAGTTCGCTTTTCAGGAACCGGAGGACGACCGCTGGTTCACACGAACCGAACTTTTAGAGGCTCTCGGTATAGTCCACGCCTATGATAGAGAAAGGAAAGGTAAAGGTCTTGCCTTGCGTTGGAGTATTCTTGGAGGACCTCGAATTTAGGCCGGCGGGAGTGAAATGGTTTTCACCTATTACGGTAGCAGATGCAGTACCCAGGGCTCGATCCCTAGACCTTCCCTCCACCCATGTACAATACCCGTTGACCCGTGTGTGTTTGAACCCGTGACCTGTGTTCTCATAGTCATATGTTTAGCCGATGTATATCGTCCGGTCGTCGGGTCTTGAACTGTAGGTCTTCGTTTTAGTTGTCTTTGGGTCAGCCTAGGTCGTAACTACTGTAGCTCTGAAGGGTCAAGTCTACAGTCTTTCGGAACTTCAGGAAGTGGCCTTTCGGGTGTCCTAGAGTCAGTCCGCGTCTGGGTCACCAGTGGACAGTCTAACACTGTTAGCAAAGGGCAGTCCTAAACCTACCTAGCCTAGTCAGCGGTACCCAGTCTCGAGGTGCACTTTGTCTAGTCAGCAAGTACCAGGTGGGACTGTGCACACCCCGGGCCCAGGGTCAAAGGGCAGACCTGTGACAATCCAAAGTATAAATAAAGAGGCAGCATCAAGCCATTCATTCATTCTGCCTGTGAGCCGTGCGGAAGCGTTGTCGAAGCGTCCAGTGCTACGGAGGTCTGCAGATGCCCGCAGAAGAAGAGGGCTATAGGAGGAAGAAGCGGCCATAGCCGCTTGTTAGTAGGAGGAAGAAGGCAGCCATAGCTGTCGTAGGTTAGAGGTAGAGAGTTTGTTTGTGTGGTAGTGTGTTGTGTGTGTCTGCAAGACATCCAGGGAGCTCCAGAGTGTGTGCGTGTGTGAATAAGTTGTCGGTGAATACAGTTGATCGGGTGTGCATCTTTGTCTGGTGCAGTGGCGCCATAGCCATTCAAAATGAGTTTGAATCTGAGTTGTGTTCCTGGTTACGTTTATCTCTGAGTTTTGTGTGGGCGCCATAGCGGCAGCGTGATCGCCATTTGTTTGCATGCATGTTGAGGTCGAAGAAGACAAAGTCTGATTTTTGATTTGATTGATTTGATTGATTTGATTGATTGATTGATTGATTGATTGGGCGCTAGGCGGATTAATTAGCAATACATCGCACGATTAATCTCCTGACACTAATTAATCGCGGCTAATCGAACTTCAGGTAGGGCATTGTTTTTTTTTCCTTTCTGCAATTATTCCGAGTTTTAGGATATTACCCCTCAACATGCCCATGAAGGGGCCCCACTGCAAGCATCCGGCCCGCCCTAAGTGAAGGTGGGTCCCGTATGTTAAAGAGGCTTGAATATTAAAAACTCGACAACCCTGTTGGGGGCCAGCCAGACTGTTGTGAGTCTTCTAGGCTCTTCTATTCTAGATTTGGAAGTTGGCCTCTGGGCCCTATCCAGAAGCAGGGAACACCTCAGGGCAGTGTGTGGTGGTTGGGCGCGCCTAATATATTTGGCCCCAGAGCACTGTCTGAATGGGCCTGGACGCGGACACTTTGCCCCAACTTGAAGCTAGAGGGCACACGCGCATCCAGCCCCAGGAAACAAAGAGTCTGGCTGCTTTCCATATTGGAGAGAGCCAGGCCGAGGGCAGGGGATTAGGGCACTTGGTTGGAGAGATTGCCCACGCCTGTAAGCTAGCTCCAGTGCTTGACACACGCACGGGTGTAGGGTGTTGTTGGGCGTTGCAAGAGAGCAGCGCCATAGCTAGGGCCTCCATAGTTGGGCCTGGGCAGACAATAGCTGGCGGGCACTAAGAGGTGAAGGGAAGAAATGGCGTGAGAGCACATACCTGGTCCTGGCGGGGGTCTGCATGGTCGACGTCGTCGTGTACTTTGGTCGCTGTTGCTGATGCCACTGGTTGCTTTGTCATTTGGCAGGCTAGAGTAGTAGCTGGGCGCTGTGCGCCAATAGGAGGAAGAGCTTCAAAAACATTGTTGATGGTGGCGAGGGGGCTTTTATTGGCAATTGAGTTCGCTGCTTTGGTTCTCCTTCAGTGTGATATCAGTGCATTTCTGCTTTCTTGACAGTTTACGACTGTCTGGCTTTCAATGTGATTTTGCAATTTGGAATTCTCCCATGCGCTATTGCTCATTTTCCTTGCAATATTTGTATTTGAGCTGGTTGCAGCCGCTCTGCTGGCTCTAGCGCGGTGCTGCGCCGTGTACCTGCGCCGCAGTGTGATTGGGGCATGGCGCTGGTTTGATGAGGAGGCCTGTGTCGATAGGGCGCTCCTCGAAGGCTATGTGGTGACATGTGGGTGCACGCTGGATGATAAGAGTTTGTTGACGTGGCGTTTAAGCCGAGGTGGAACTGCATTATATTGTGGGTTGTCCCGAGTGCAAGGAATATGAGCGATAGACAGAAATCCGAAGTGAGCGAGAGCGAGAGCAACCAAGTGTGAATCGGAACACTACAACACACATGAACTTGACAAAGTGAAGATTGAACTAGTGAATGCACATGCACATGGATGAAAGAGCAACCAAGTGTGAATCGGAACACTACAACACACATGAACTTGACAAAGTGAAGTTTGAACTAGTGAATGCACATGCTCATGGATGAAAGAGCAACCAAGTAAGAATCGGAACACTACAATACACATGAACTTGACAAAGTGAAGGTTGAACTAAAAAGAAAGCACATGCGCATGAGTGAAGGAGCAACCAAGTGTTGAAACGGAACACTACCATACACATGAACTTGACAAGGTGAAGATTGAACTAGTGAATGCATATACACATGGATGAAAGAGCAACCAAGTGTGAATCGAAACACTACCATACACGTGAACTTAACAAGGTGAGGGTTGAACTAACGAAAGCACATGCACATGAGTGAAGGAGCAATCGAGTGGGAAACGAAGCACTACCATACACATGAACTTAACAAAGTGAAGGTTGAACTAATGAAAGCACATGCACATGAGTGAAAGAGCAACCATGTGTGAAATGGACCATCATCATGTGAGAGTTGAGCCGTGCATGTGGGTGAGACTTGCTCAAACACATGTTTGTGGCTCATGAATAGAACCAAGCATGAAACGGAATGTCATCATGTGAGAGTTGAGTCATGCATGTGAGTGAGACTTGCTCAAACACATGCTTGTGGCTCGTGAATACAACCAAGCATGAAACGGAATATCACCAACTACTATATGAGTGAAAGCATGAGCTAAACTGGCCAAAACACAAGGTTGAAGCATGAGCATCAAATAATGAAGAATCCGAACATCTCCTACTACTATGTGAGTGAAAAGCATGGGCTAGACTAGCCTCTAGGAAGGAGAAGGAGGAGAAGAAAA